TTCCATAGCAATAAACACACACACCCCCTGCTCCTTTGTCAGTTACGCTTCAGACTTATTTATCACACACCACGGATATGGAAGCACGGGGTAAAACACAAGAGCTTTGAAGTTAAGGAAAGGGTTTTCTTGCTGCTGCTGCTCCGCGTGGCGCCGGAGCCATCCACACCGGGGAGCTTCCATTGCAAAGGAGTTCAGCATCCCCGTGGTGCTCCCACAGGCTCAGAGGTGGGGCAGGGCTCGCCTGGGCTTTCATGGGAGAGGTTCCTGAAGTGCTGCGCAGGAGGGGGTGTTAAAGGGATAAAACTTAACAGGTTCCATCATTAAATGTGATAGTAAAGATAAAGCATCCAGGTAAAACTTGGAGGCCCCTTTCTGCCCGCTCCATGCTGGCGTGATGGCACATCAGCTGTCCTGGCTTGCTCAGTGCTTTGGAGTCTACCCAAAAGCAAACAGCATCCTCAACGTGCACTGTAAAGCAATACATCAGGTGCTGTTGTTCCAGCACAGGATAAGGGATGTGAGCAGAGGCCCCGTCTACCCTAATGCATTTAAATAGAGCTTAAAAGATGCAGCTCACATGCCGGTGTGAAACAATTTACATTGCAATTACTCTCTTGTTCCAGATTAGCTGCTGGGCCCTGTCTGCTAAACCCTTCCTTTCCTCCAGCCCCGTATCCAGCTCTCCTGCACGGGGCTCTAAGCTGATGATTCATGTATTAATACATGGTTATGAGATGCCTCCTCTCCCTCCGCTGCTGCTCCCCGTCTCTGGCAATAGAAGGAGGAAATGAATCCTTAAAACCTCAGGAACAAATAGTCCGTGTGTGGAGATCAATCCTGCTCTCGCTGACGTCAATGGAAACATTTCCATCGGCTGCAGCGGCAGCAGGATTAGTCCCATCTATCGGATATTAGCTTGAGTTATAACCTCACCAGCCCCCATGGAGTGAAGGGGGAAGCTGTATCTGTTAGAACAACTAGGGGGGCATTAAGTGGCTGTTAAAGATGTTGCTCTTTAGTGGGGGAAAGCAGCTACTGGGGTTGTGAGCAGGGAGGTGCCTGTGTTGTAAGGAGCATCCATGCCTGCACAGGGACCCCCAGCTCTGCTCATGGGGCTGGAGCGAGTCACTGCTCTTTAAGTAACTCCTCCACCTCCCCTGTGGAAAGGAGGGGATGGAGCAGGAAAAAGCACCTTGAACCCCACCAGCCCCATTGCGCCCCATGGACCATCCACCCCGCTGCAAATAACCAGGGCCAAAGTTGGAAGCAGCCCCTCCAGCTGTGCCCAAGGAGGGGTCTAACATCTGGGCATCAGCAGCAGAGAGGAAGGCGTCGTTGTCGCACTCAGTGCTTGTTGGGCCACCCCTGGAATACCGTGTCCAGTTCTAGCCCTGCTGCACAAAATGAGATGTGGACGGGATGGAGAGGATCCAGAGAACGGCCACAGAGATGATCCAAGGAAGGAAAGGCTGAGAGAGCTGGGGCTGTCCAGCCTGGAGAAGAGAAGGCGCAGGGAGACCTTATCCCCGTGTACCAGGGTCTAAAGGAGGCTACAAAAAAGATGGAGACTCCCTCTTTACAAGGAGCCCCATGGAAGGGGTGAGGAACACAAGTTACTGCTGGGGAGATTCCCACTGGACACAAGAGGAAAATGTTTCCCAATGGGAACAACCAGTCCCTGAGGTAATCTCCCCAGGGAAGAGGTGACTCCCCAGCACTGGACACTGTTAAGGCTCAGCTGCACAGGGTACAGCTGGGACACCCACTCTGGGTCATGCTGGGCCTGGAAAGGTTGGACCAGGTGGTCCTTGAGGTCCCTCCCAACCTGGAATTCCAGGATTCCAAGATTTGCTGCTGCCTTAATATGCAGAATCCTCCTTGTTACATGGTCCTCCACCCCGTGGCCCTTCCCAGTCCCCATCTCCACCAGTCTGGGACCACTCGTGCTGGGGACAATGGGAGCAGTCACATCCCCTCCCTGTACAGCCTTTCCCACCCAAATTCCCAGCTCTGGAGCATCTCCCTCCTTGTCCCACTGGCCAGAGGGAGGAAAAAGACCCAGAAATCCCTATTTCCCTAATGAGAAGCCACAAACTAATGAGCCACCATCCAAGCCAAATATTAGGAGTCACATAATAATTATATCAACGGAATCAACACCAATTTAACAGCAAAGGTTAATTACAGCGAGTTAACAACCTGATAGACAAACTGATGCTCCAGCAGTTGGGCAGACTAATTGAAAGCTAATGTTGCTCCTAAATTGAATTTCAAATGAATTTTACATCCATAGTTCATTTTGCTAATTTCATTCCCTGGATCCTGTAATTTGTTGGCAGTGATTGATTACTTAAGTGAATAATATCTATGTACCAGGACCACTTAGCAATAGAACATGCCAAGTGTGATCATACTGATAATAAATACAGTTTCTTGAGGGTTTCCTGCTCTGTCTGGGTTTCAGTGGAGCTGGGATGTGGTGCTAGAGAAGCAAAGGGCTTTGGGCAGTCATCAGCTCCTGTTTTGGGGTCTCCTTTACATGGCACATTTCATCCCCTCCCAAATCCTCCATTTATGGAACAGTATGCATTGAGGGCTTACGAGGGAATACCTGCAGGTGATATTCCATGCATTCCAGGCGCCTTCAACCAGCATTCTCCAACCTGAAACCCAGCACTGAGCCCCAGCCCAGCATCCCGATGACATCCCAACACCCATCCCGTTGTCCCAAGGCCCAGCCCACACTGGAAGCCCATCGGGCGTCGCTGCCTCTCCTCGGTGGCTCTGGAGCATCCGTTGCTGCAAGATGAATGCAATTATAGCTTAATCAAATTTGAATCCAGGGAATGATGCGCTTTGCATCCAACCAACAATCAGCTGTTGCTATGCTACAGCCCCAGTGTAATCACAGTAATGAAGCCAGCCAAGGGAAGGCATTAATCAGGAGGCAGATCATTATCCAGCCTCACCCCCTGCCTCCCCAGCTCCTGATGCGGAGCCTCCTGTTGCTTTAACATGAGAAACAACCCCAAACCAAGGCAGATCCCGGGATCCAGGGGGCAGCCCCTCTCCGGGTACCATTTCCCATCCCAGCTGTGGCTTGGTTTGGCCACGGAGCCCAAGCTGCCCGTGTCCCACTGCTCCAGCACCGGAGCGCCACGAGCAGCAGCAATTCCTCCCCCACAGTTCCACATCCTTTAATCATTTATTCCTCAGATCCAAAGGAAACCTCTGACGAAGCGGAGCTGTGCGGATGGAAGGGGAAGGGCTTCATCAATTTTTCATGGCCGTGGCTGGGATGTGAGCAGCTCAGGATTCATCCTGTCAGCACTGACCTTGATGCTGCCTCCATCGCCCCTTGGAGGCACCCACCAGCGATGGGAAGCACGCTGGGATGGGAGTGGGAGCAGGCAGCTGAATGTCTCCGGGATGCTTCATGCTCCAGGGCACCAAGCTACCTCCTGTAACGTGCCAGGACAGGGAATGCAAGTCCAAACCGGGAGGAGCAGCCAAATTCCTCCCCACAAGCCATGTGCATGACTGGGACAGGCCACTCCGCATCTCGGTGTCCCCAAAACCCCAACACCCTCCTATAAAGGGAAAGTAAAAGCAAAACGCACCCAGCTCCCAACCGCTTTCCAAAGCGTTCCCAAGCGAGGCTGCATGATCCCCATCAGGGCGGCATTCCTGAATCTGAGGGGATTTGTGCTCTTCCCCCCTCCCAGATTCCTCTGCTTTGGGCACGCCGGTGCCACGAGGCTCACAAAGAGCTCCAGTTGCCTCTTTGGGTGGTGGGGTTTGAGCTGCGGCAGCCGGGCAGCGCTTCGATCCGGCGGGACGCGGGATGTAAATGCTCATGGGCAGACACCTCGCGATTCGTTCTGCTCATAATTGCCTCGGAACGTGGGGCGAGCTGTAATTAACTCTTCTTTATGAGCGAGAGGAGGGTGGGAATGGGGTCAGTGCAGGAGCTCAGCATCCCGAAATCCCCCTCATTCCACGTGCGGGGCCGGGGTTATTGCCCTGCAGCTGAACGGATTTGCCCTCGGAGCTGGCAAACGGGATCTTGCCTCATCCCCGGGTTGAAACAACCCCTTTAATTACAGCGCCCGGGCTGCGGCTGTGGTGATGCCGCTACGTGGGAGCCCTGCTCCATGCCGCAGCGGAGCAGCGATCACATCCAGGTTCTGCTTCTCTAGCAAAGCCCCTGGGCAGGTTTGGCTCTGCATGAGCCTTTGTTCTCCCCACGGGTGACTTTGCCATGGGACGAGTGTCTCATCTACATTAATCTATTGCTTTTAACACCGAAGCATCAACGTACGGCAAGGGTGGCCCTTAAGAGACCCTGTAAATCAGCCTCATGTCACCATTTGATCTGAGCACTGAGGGGTCCCCGTGGGTCACACCAGCAACGCATGGGGCCATCCCTGCATGCCGTCAGCCACCCCGAGGCGGCTGGGCTGTGCTGGGCACATCCACACGAGCTGTTTTCTGGTGTAAAAAGAGGCAAAAGCGCTCTTGTGCTGCAGAGCAGGGATGGGACAGGACAGGGGGTGCCCCCTTATGGGGCTTGGCAGAAGGATGCTGGGTGCCCCGCTGGAAAGGAGCAGCCGGAGCTGCTGGGGCCGGGCTTGGGACCCGCGCAGCCCCGGTCAGCCGGCACGGCACGGCCCCGGTTACCGAGGCTGCAGTGCCCTCCTGTGGGCATCCCACAGGGCTCCCCCGTCCCAGAGCCCTGTGGAGTGATGCAGGACCCCATTTCTCCATCCCAGTGCCCTGCAAGGTGATGCAGGACTCCATCCACCCCATCCCAGAGCTGTGCGAGGTGATGCAGGATCCTTGTCCCCGCATGGCTCCAGGACCCCATCCCATTCACCTCAAAGCCCCGTGGCCCAACCCAGCCCCTTCCCCTCCCTGGCCCCTGCTCCCTGTGCATCCCACCCTTCCCAGCTCTGACCCAGCATCACCCCACGCAGTGAATAAGGATCCATCCCATCACCCCGCATCAGGCCAGGTGGTGCCGGCAGGGGACCAGGGCTGCTGCTAGAAACGCTCATTGAAGAAGAGGAAGCCGAAGCGCTCGCAGTGCACCCTGATGACCTTGGCAAGAGCTGGCGAGCCGCAGAAGAAGACCTGGACCTTCCCTTTCTTCTCCTCTGCCACCTTCCCAAACACCTGAGGGACAGGCGAGAGGAGATGGTGGCAGAGCCAGCCGGGATGGCCGCATCCCTGCCTGCCTTGGGAGCTGCTGGCCCTGTGATGCTTCCCCATGGGAGGAAGAGGCTTCCCTGGGTCCGGATACCCCAGTGGTGGATCCTCCTGCTCCGAAACAGGGCTCTCCTGTGGTGTCCCCGCAGGAAGAGCGGCTTATGGGGACACGGCTCCCTCCCCATGGGTGATGCCCCCACTCCTCACCTTGCTCCAGTCGGGGCGGCCGGGCTGGGTCCTGGTGCGCAGCCCGGTGATGGAGTCCCTCTGCTCCTTGGCCGCCAGCAGGTCCAGCGCCATCTGCAGCCCGATGCCCTTCACGTCGTGCTTGCCCAGCGCCGAGGTCATGTACATGTGCATCTCCAGGAAGCGCCCTGCGTGAGCCCGGGGGATGCTCACGCCTCCGGCCCCACACCGCGAGCACAGGGGCTGCGGTGTCCCTGCCTCCCGCTCACCTCCCGGCTCCTGCTCAGCCTGCTCCAGTTCCAGCTTGGTCAGCAGGCTGACGAACCACTCAAAGTGCTTCTGGTCCCGGTTGATCCAGATGAAGTCAACCTGGAAGGACACAGCAGCTCCTCAGTCGGAGCTGGCCGGCAGCACGGGGACCACAGCCAACCCAGCCCTGCTGGACCGCAGGGATGCTGATGGGCTCTGCAGCCTCAGGAGCCTGCAGCCCTCCTGCAGGGTACACCTCGGTCCCACAGCCCCCTCCATCATCTCCTACCTTCCTGAGTGTCATGTCCTCATCCTGCAGGTCCTCACACCATGAATAGTGGCAGCTGGGGCAGCTCTGCTTTCGCCGGCGGTACCTGCACGGGCAGACACAGCCCTGCCTGCATCCTTCGGACGCCACAGACCGAGGGATGCAGGAGACCTCGAGCCCTTGTTCCTCACCAGCTCTGGGTCATGCCCACGGCTAACACAGCGTACATCACATCCCGTGCCTTCCAAAGCCACACCAGAGCTCCACCAGCACGTCCACAGCCTGAGCTGCTGCGCCAGCACCAACCTGTACATGATGCTCTGCAAAATGGAGGCGAAGGGGGTGATGCCGATGCCGGCGCCGATGAGCACAGCGTGCTCCGAGGTGAAGATCCTCCGGGTCGGGGTCCCATAGGGGCCATCGATGTAGCACTGGGAGAGATGAGGAACTCAGGGAGCACTCAGGCAGCCCATGGATGCTAAAACAACTCTTAGGCTGTGAGCAGGAGCAGGCTTATGGAACCGAGGGTGACTTTGGGGTCTTTTATGGGAGGGTTATGGGAGCAAAGGAAGAGGAGGATGAAGCCATCCAGTAGCACAGGGTTTGGATCAGCCCCAGACGAGACCATCCATGCACAGGGGCACACTTATGGGTCCCCCCAAGGGATGCTGAGCACAGCCCTGCTTGCCAGAGCCAAGGAAGGACCGAGCATCCCTCACCTTGATGCTGCAGAGCTGATGGGGCTCCAGCAGACCGGTGGGGACCTGCGAGGTGAAGAGAGCAGTGACCACCTCCTCATCACCCAAACCCCTCCGTGGCAGCTAAAGCTAAAACCCTGCTTGTTCCCGAGGCTGGGATTTGGGGTGGGGTTTTCCCAGCTGGGGTGATCCAGGCTGCACACGCGCTTCCAGCCGCATCCCTTGGGCAGAGCCAGGGCACTGCTCAAGCCTCTGGTGGGACATCCCAGCATCCACCAGCACCTCATGACATTATCTGGATCATCCCTTTGAGCATTGATGCAATTATCCCAGTCCCCACATGAGCTGGGAAGGGAGGAACTGGTTCACAGCAGCCAGAAACCGCTGCTCACCAGGGGACAGATGAAAGCAAGAGGGTGACAGGGACACTCACTGAACCCAGTGCACGCAGATGCTTTCCCTGCCAGGGCTGCTCCTCCAGCCCCGGCACAATGAATATCCTGGGAAGTTTCCATGGCAGGGATAAGGGCCTGTAACGGGTGCTGGTGGGAGATGTGCTCACCTCTGATGATGGGTCCTGCTCTCCTCGGGCAGCAGCACCGCTGGCTTTGTATGAGGTCAGCTGAACGGCTCCATCTGCATCTGTGGCCACGGAGCCCCCGTCTGAGCCAGCTCTGCTGCAGAGACCTTCCTGAATCCAAGCACAAAGGCATTAGTGGCTGTGGTGCCTCATCCAGCAGGGCCATACGGTTTCAACAGAGAGAGGGGGGTGCAAAGTCATAGGCTCAAGGAATGGTTTGGGTTGGAAGGGACCTTGAAGCTCCTCCAGCTCCAACCCCTGCCACGGGCAGGGACCCCTTCCCCTGGAGCAGCTTGCTCCAAGCCCCTGTGGCCACCCTGCCCTTGCTCCTCCAAGGCTGCACAAGCACCTTGCAGGGGATGTGCACCACGAGTGCCCCCAGCCTGGTGCTACCCAGGCAGCTGAGCCCTGGGGTGGCCCCGGGGGGAGGCACTCAGCAGAGCCCTGCCCGCACCGACCTGTGCCCAGCACCGGGGTCTCCTCGCCCGCAGGCTCCTGCTGAGGGGTTCGGGCTGCTGGAAGTGCTCATAGAGCTTGGTGGTCCATTGGCCCAGGGACCTGATGTGCAGCCAGAGGGTGTCTGCGGGGGGAAGCGGGGCAGCGGGCAGCATCCTGTGCGTGGAACTGCCCTGCAGCCCTGGCACTGCAGCCGTGTGCTGCACAGGGCTGGCCCTGGGGAGCCTGCAGCACTCATAGGGTCACGGACAGGTTTGGGTGGGAAGGGACCTTTAAGCTCATCCAGTTCCAGCTCAGCTCAGTCTCCCCTCGGGCAGGTTAAAGCCATTCCCCTTGGCCTGTCCCTACAGGCCCTTGGCCAAAGCCCCTCTCCAGGTTTCCTGTAGGCTCTCTTTGTGTATTGGAAGACTGCAGAATCAGGTGGCATCCCCACCAACATCCTTCACATTCAGTCCTCATACCTTGCTTGAAATAACCCGAGTACCTGATTTTATACAGCACTTAACGCACAGGCAGAGAGGGAGGTAGGTGAGCTGAGGCATGCATGGACATGTACTGCCCTGCTCCACAGTATGATCACCTCTTTGCAGGACCCTCAGAGGGGACCCAGACACCCAAATGGGGCTTGTGCGATGGGAAACATCCATCTCAGGGATGGGAAACATCCATCTCAGGGATGGGAACCATCATCCCAGTGATGGGAACCATCATCCCAGTGATGGGAAACATTCATCCCAGTGATGGGAAACATTCATCCCAGTGATGGGAAACATTCATCCCAGTGATGGGAAACATTCATCTCAGGGATGGAGACCATTCATCCCAGTGATGGGAACCATCATCCCAGTGATGGGAACCATTCATCTCAGGGGTGGAAAACATCACCCAGTGATGCAGAACATCATCCCAGGGATGCAGCACATCATGGTGATGCTATGGGAAACATCACCCCAGTGATGGCCAACATCATCCCAGTGATGGCCAACATCGTGGTGATGCTATGGGAGCCAGGCCCAGTGATCACCTTGCTGCTCAGGCGCGCTGCTGATGGTGAAGGGGTGCCACTCGTAGGAGGCGATGGCTGGGATGTTCAGGTAGATGTAGTCACCGGGCTTGTAGTGGAAAGACTGCGGCCTCTCGATCACGAGGTGAGTGACCTGCAGGGAACAGAGACCGGAAAACCGGGAGCATCCAGCGGGAACATGAGGCTGGTCAGTCACAACCGATGGTCCTTCTGCAGCCCGTGACCACCAGGGTCTCTGTGTCCCACGTTAAACAGTGGCCAGCATGAGAAGGGCAGATTTGACCTAAGGAAGGGGTTTATTCCCCTATCCCCTGCCCATCTTCGCTATCAAACCAAGGTCTCAGTTAGGGCTGGCCTCAAACCATGATGCTTGAAGAGGAAATAAGAGTCACAGCAGTTTGTGCCTTGCCTCCAGGCATTCTGTGAGTTTAGCCCTTCTTTTACTTGAAAAACAGGCAAAACCTCTAAATAACAAAAAACAGTGGCTTGAAAATGAAGAACCTGCTTCCACCTCTTGCTGCAAACATCCACCAACACCGCCCGAAGCCACCCAAACCTACATCTTTTCCATACAAGCTATTCATTGCACCCCATCCCTCCAGCACGCGGCTGGGGAAGCACCCAACACATTGGGGCCGTCACTTCTCCTTCATGTCCCACTGTCCCTCCTTGTCCCCTGCACTGTGGTCAGTGGCAAAGTGCTTTTCGCCACGCTATGGGGTGCTTTGCAAACAGGGGAGGTGTTTGGGGGCACCTGTATTGCCACTCTGCACAAGGAGGGCCCTGGGAGGGAGGTGGGAATGGGATCGCAGAGCCCACGGGCACAGACCTTGGATGGGAGCAGGTTGACCTCCACGATGCGCAGCCCCCCTGCCCGCCGCCAGGCCAAGCCAAGCACCTTCTCCAGCACAAAGAGGCAGCCGGGAACCACGAACCACTTCCAGAAGTGGGGACCATGCAGGATGAGGAGGATCCAGATGGGGACGTAGGAGAGGTGGGTCCAGTAGAAGACCTGTGGTGAGCGTCAATGGAGAGCAACGAATGGAGCCAGATGGTGCGGTCCCTATGGGGGTATTCATGGAGCCGCATCGGGACCCACCTCGAAGTGGCCGCTCCGTCGCACGCAGGGGCTGGAGAAGGCGGCCATGGCGAGCAGCAGTGCCTGGAGGACCAGCCCCGTCTGCGGGGCTGTGCCCCACAGGCCCCCCGTGCCCGGCCGTGCCCGCAGCAGGTACTCGGCGAGGGCAGGGTGCCCGTCCTGCTGCGCCAGCCTGCCTGGGATGGGACATGGAGGTGGGATCTGAGCAGGGAGCTCTTCCCTGGGAGGGTGCTGAGGCGCTGGCACAGGGTGCCCAGAGAAGCTGTGGCTGCCCCATCCCTGGCAGTGTTCAAGGCCAGGCTGGACACAGGGGCTTGGAGCAAGCTGCTCCAGTGGAAGGGGTCCCTGCCCGTGGCAGGGGTTGGAACTGAATGAGCTTAAGGTCCCTTCCAACCCAAACCAGGCTGGGATTGACTCTATTACATTCTCCCCTGGCTCTGCTGTGGGGTGGGGGGGTCCGTGGGGCACAGACTCCACTCAGGAGCTGTGTGGGGATCGTTGGGGCCCGTCGCTGCCGGCCGGGATGCCACTAGAGGGGGGTAACAGACAGTGCGTGGACAGCACAGCACCGTGTGCCCTGGGGCTGCCAGCACCCAGCCTGCAGCCTCACAACCCCCTCTGATCTGTGCACCCCCCCACAAGCCTGAGCTCCCTCCCTGCGATATCTGCACCCCACGGGTGAGCATCCCCTCTATGGAGGATGTGCATCCCTCCTGGAACACACTCATCCCCTTCTCCAGGACATCTGCATCCCCCAGGACACGAGCATCCCCTCTATGGAGGATGTGCATCCCTCCTGGAACACACGCATCCCCTTCTCCAGGACATCTGCATCCCCCAGGACACGAGCATCCCCTCTATGGAGGATGTGCATCCCTCCTGGAACACACGCATCCCCTTCTCCAGGACATCTGCATCCCCCAGGACACGAGCATCCCCTCTATGGAGGATGTGCATCCCTCCTGGAACACACGCATCCCCTTCTCTAGGACATCTGCATCCCCCAGGACACGAGCATCCCCCCGCATGGTTCCATCCAGACCCCTGCATCTTTCCACCAGCACCCTGTGGGTGATGCCCCTGCACCAAGGGTCTCTTCCCTCAGCAGGACTGGGGGGGGGACCCCCCGCAGGGCTGATGGAGCGCACTGGGGAGGGTCTCACCCGAGGTCAGGCCATGTCCCCTCCCCATGCCCGAGGGCTGCTACTCACTGAAGTTGGCGACGTGGGCGCCCGTGTGAGCGGCTGCCAGCGCCAGCACCACGTACCCCACGAGCTGGTGGAACAGGACGTGCTGGTCCAGCGGCAGCACCTTGGCCACGGGGGTGGCTCGCAGCCAGGTCAGGCACCTCCGCAGCATCAGCACCTCCAGGCAGGAAAGGGGGAGTCAGGGATGGGAGCGGGACAATCAGGGATGCTGGGGGCCATCAGGGATGCTGGAGGCAATGACAGATGGGAGAGGGACAATCCGGGATTCTGGGGACCATCAGGGGTGGGAAAGGGACAGCAGGAGATGCTGGGGGACATTGGAGATGGGAGAGGGGCAATCAGGGATGCTGGGGGCCATCACGGGTGGGAAAGGGACTCTAGGAGATGCTGGGGGACATTGGAGATGGGGCAATCAGGGATGGTGGGGGCCATCATGGATAGGAAAGGGACTGTAGGAGATGCTGGGGGACATTGGAGATGGGCAATCAGGGATGCTGGGGGACATTGGAGATGGGAGAGGGGCAGTCAGGGATGCTGGAGGCCCTTGGTCTCGGGAGCCAACTCCCTGCCACCCTGCTGTGAAGAGCACCCAGAGGCAGCAATCAAGGCCCCATGTGCAGGGCGCCAGGAGTTCCCTTGTCCCAAAGAGCCTCCCTGAGCCCTTAGAACGCGGCGGCGCAGGGAAGAGCCCGGTCCCGCAGCTGCAGGAGCGCACGGGCTCCGTTGCTGCCCCCGGCGCGGCTCTGGCTGTGACCGCGCCGTTCCGCACCGCCCCGCACTCACAGCGAGCAGGGCGCAGTTGAAGTTGAGGCATTGCCCGCAGCCGCGGGCCAGCGCCAGGCTCCCTGCGTGCCGCGGCGCCGCCAGCGCCAACAGCGCCAGGTTGAGGCCCGCGTAGCCGCCGGCGCAGCGCAGGTCCCCGCCGTGGTTGCGCCAGAACGCGCGGCGCAGGCAGCGCGGCCGCGGGCGGCGCTCGGGGGCAGGCGGCGGCTTCAGCCAGCCCGCGGCGCTGGGGGGAAGCATCGGCATTGATTGGGCGGGGAAGGGGAGCCCCGCATCACCCCCTCACCCAGCTGCGCGCCCAGCATCGCATCATCCCTGCACCCATCCGTGCGTCCATCCCTGAGCCCACTCCTACCCCCAGCATCCCATCATCCCTGCACCCATCTGGGCATCCATCCCTGCGCCCACTCCTACCCCCAGCATCGCATCATCCCTGCACCCATCCGTGCGTCCATCCCTGCGCCCAGTCCTACCCCCAGCATTGCATCACCCCTGCACCCAGCCCAGCGTCATCTCTGCACCCATCTGTGCATCCATCCCTGCACCCACTCCTACCCCCAGCATCGCATCATCCCTGCATCCAAGCCCAGCATCCAGTGTGGCATCATCCCTGCTCCCAGCCATGTGTCCAAACCCTGCACCTATCCCAACACCATACCTGCATCCAAGTTTGGCACCAGTGTGACACCCTCCCTGCACCTATCCCTGCATCTGAGCACTGTACCAATCTTAACACCATCCTTGAACCCATCCCTGCACCTATTACTGCATCCAAACCCTGTACCAAGCTTGGCATCATCCCTGCACTCATCCCAACACCATCCTTGCACCCACCTCTGCACCCAGCTTAGCACCATTTGCTCCCAGTGGTACCTCATGGTCTGGGCACCCCATTAGACCCTTGATGAGAGCATAAACCCCATGCTTTTTCCCCCACTCAGGACGAAGAAGATGCTCACAAGGGAGCTCCCACCCCTGTGGGCTTGTCAGAGGGACCCAGCAGCACACGTACCTGATGGTCAGGTTCTCCATGACCTCCGGGAAACCCTCCAGCTCCTCCCTGAGCTCCTCGAAGGTGATGGAGCCGCTGTGGTCCTTGTCAGCGGCCTCAAAGAGGGCCATGGTGAGGTCCGTGAGCCGCTCCTCAGGCAGGGCTATGGCGCTCTCCCACAGGCACCCCCGCAGCACCAGGCGCAGCTCATCGGGGTCGATGGAGCCACTGCCTGCATGGGGTGAGCAGGGACCCGGGGATGTCACAGAACCCTGAAACGCCTTCACCTTGTGCCCTTAACCCAGGAATTCCCAGCTTGCTCCAAGCCCCTGTGGCCTTGAGCACTGCCAGGGATGGGGCAGCCACAGCTTCTCTGGGCACCCTGTGCCAGAGCCTCAGCACCCTCCCAGGGAAGAGCTTCTGCCTAAGAGCTCATCTCAGTCTCCCCTCTGGCAGGTTAAAGCCATTCCCCTTGGCCTGTCCCTACAGGCCCTTGTCCCAAGCCCCTCTCCAGGTTTCCTGCAGCCCCTTTAGGCACTGGAGCTTATTTAATAGCAATACGCTCCTGATTAACGTGGTTTTCACCATCTCACCATCCACATCGTAAACCTGGAAGAGGAATCTCAGCTTGTCCATCTCACTCCCATGCACGAGCAGGCTCAGGGCTTTCAGCAGCTCCTCCAAGCTGATGCTCCCGCTCCCGTCCGCATCGAACAGCGCAAAGAACCGCTCAGCAAAGAAGGACTGTGAGGAGAGAACAAGCACTCTCACAGGCGACGGGATGAGCTTCACCAGCCCCATCCCGGTGCTATAGACCAAGCTGTTGCCACCAGCAATGGGAATTGCATGGCAAAAGCTGAAGGTCTTGGGGAAGCCCAAAAGCAGGAGGGAAGGGATGAAGGGGGTATTGGCACTGCAGCCGGAGGTATTGCCTGGAGGACACGGGGATGGACAGGGCAGCAGGGAGGGAATATATGGTGGGAATAGCCTAGCATGGTAAAAGCAGACTGTGAATATCCAATTGATTTTGCACTGTGGATGGTTAATCCAGGTTTTCCACTCCTACTCACTGCAGAGCACCATAGCATCATAGAATGGTTTGGACTGGAAGCGACCTTAAAGCCCATTCAGCTCCAGCCCCTACCACAGGCAGGGACCCCTTCCACTAGGGCAGCTTGCTCCAAGCCCCTGTGTCCAGCCTGGCCTTGAGCACTGCCAGGGATGGGGCAGCCCCACCGGCAGCCCTCACCTCCTTCACCTGCAGCGCGGTTTTGAACCCCTCCAGGTCGATCTCCTTGTCCTGCCCCGCGATGCTCCCAAACTGCTTCCTCACCCACCGCAGCCACTCAGCATCCTCCGCCGCGCTCATGGCCAGGGCCCTGCAGGAGGATGCAGTACGGCAGCAGCCCCGCACAGCTCCCTGGTCCTGGTCCTGCTCTGCCCTGCAGCAGTGACATCCCTCAGGGCTGTGCAGCTGATGGACAGAAGGGAGGAATAAGCCCCTCAAAGCACACACGCAGCCACACATAGTGCAGGATGAGCAGAGCTTACACAGCCTGTGGGCAGAGCAGCTGTGGGGCTCACAGCCCACCCCAAAGGGGCTGTGCAGGCAGGAAGGTTTCTGCTTTGCTCCCTGGCTGCCCTGCATGGTCTCCTTTACTCACCCATCATCTTAACCCGGTCCATGGGGTGCTTGCCCTGTGCCTCCTGTACACAACTGAGCATCATCGCACAACCCAACATGAGCCTGTGCTCAGCGAGGCTGAACTTCTTGTTCCACTCATCCCTTAATCCCAGGATTTCCCTAACTTTTGAGAGCTCCATTTTAGAGACTGAACCATTCCCAGACCCCTTCAGCTCCCAGCGACAGGGAGGTGCTGCTCCTCCATGCTGCTGGGATCAAAGGAGGTGGCAGCAGCAAGATGCTCCCCCTGCAAACAAAACTGGAGCAGGGAGACAAGAAACTTGGTTCCCCACAGGCACCCGGTCCTCTCTCCCCTTCCCTCTCCTGCATGGTCCTCACCTCCATCCTCCTGCTCCATCCCATTGGGTCCCTGCCTCTCACCTCCCTATTCCCATTCTCCATCTCCAGATCTCTGTGCTTCTTCCAATGAGCCCAAACCTACCACAGGCTCTCCTTATATTGGGAAACCAGGGGAAAACCAATCAGAGTTGCTGCATTCAAAATCCCTTTCACAGCCCTGGACCAGGTGTGCTGTATTACCCCAACCCCTTCTCAAAGGGGGTCTCAGCAGGACACAGTGCTCCGGGGGGATCAGGCAGCAAGGGAGAGCTGGAAACAAGGCACAAACCTCTGCTCACACAGGGAAGCTGGTCCCAAGCCCCTGTCCTCCTTCACACCGGGTGTGATCCATCACCTCTATCTTACACTCACCCCAGTTCTGCCATCAGGTCTGTGGGTGCAGCCCGATGCTCCTGTTGTCACCTATCAAGCGTAGCTGATCGCAGCTGCTGCTCGTAATGCTTTCAATTTCCTTTATTTCACATTCCTTGCACCCTGCAGCATTCCAGCCTCAAGGAGCCTGTGCTGCCGGCTCCAATAAAGAGCTCGTGTCCACCCAGCGCTCCGGTCCCTATGCACCAGCCGTCAGGAGCACACGGGAAGTGTCCCTGTCATACTGCACCTTTACGTTCAGTATTCCTGAACGAATCCCGCTTGTACAGCACCCAGCTGGGACTAAATCGGGGAGGAGGTTGCCATGGGGATGCCAGAACCAGAAACCAGGTAGTAAACCGTTTGTGCTTTACTACTCCTGGGTGCTCCAGGCACTGAGCAAGCGGGGAAGCCGGGAGAGGCTCTGTACCACTAAGCGGCAGAGTTTCGCTTCAGCACCGGGGCTGAGGCAGCCGATCCCAGCTGGAAAACTCCCTCTGCCTCCCTGCCCTATTGGGAAGTTGGTCCAGCTTGGTGCAAAGATCTCGCTCTGGCTCCATGGGAACGGCTCAGGTCTCAAGTGGAGATGATGGGGACCATGTGCTCGCAGCCCCCATGGCAGGAGCATCCTCAGCCTCCCCTCTCCTGCCTCGTGGGCTGTCAGCAGTTACACAGCGGGTTTTAAAGCAGGTCTTTGATTTCAGTACACAAAGCCCCAAGTAGAACTGTTCCAACCCAGCCAAGAGCTGAGAACTAGGTGCTGCAGACACTGCGCTTCCCTGCAGCCGTGCTGGTTAAAGGGGGTTACTGTCCCCATCTCCCAGGGCAGCAGTATTCCATCTCAGCCGTGTGTGTTTTACACGGAGTTCCAGCTTTCCCTACCCGGATCCAGCAGAAACCAAGCGCAGGTTCTGAGCTAAACCCACCAATTCACAGCCCAGATCAACTCCTTTTAAAGCTGTGGCAATGCAAGGTTGGGAAACCCTTTACTAGGGGAAGGGGAGAGTAAAACATAAATCACCCGCATCTTACAGACCCCCTTTATACCCGGAGTATTCCCACTACACACACATCCCACAGGGATCTAACATAGAACAGAAGAAACCTTCAATTTGCTAATGGGACTTAATAAATAGTGGCCAGGCTACCAAAGGAACATAATATATCATGTGCAAGCATTGGACATTTCATGGAATGGGACACTGGGTTATTTACTGCCCCTGGAGCGGGCGCATGCAACAGCACAAGTTGGGTTTAATTCAGTTCTTGTCTTAAACTCCTTGTATAAGGTGATGAAAACAAGCCTGACAAGTCAGCCTCCATAGAAAACCACTCTGCTCTTCTCTGTTCAATGGAGAGTCACGTTTAGATTTGGTTTCAAATACTATCCCCAAAATTCTGAGGCACTAAAATCTCAATAAATCTATGTAAATGTCAATAATTTTGTATAAATCTCAATAAATCAATATAAATCTCAACAAATCAATATAAATCTCAAGAAATCTATATAAATCTCAAGAAATCTATATAAATCTCAATAAAACAGCTTAGTGGCTCTCTCCTGTTAAAAACAGGCACAGAAGCACCCTGGTTTCAGTGCTGGGCTCCAGTTCTTAGCTCCACATCAAACACGCTTCCCAGTTTGTGACTCCACCAACTGTAACCCGCAATGCTTTAAGTACTGCAAATAAGCACGGTTCACACAGAATTACAACTGGCCGATGGGTACCAGTCTAAAGGATCCTCCTCAAAAGACCTTGTTTCCCTGTTTGAAAGGCAATCACATTCATTCTGTCCTTAGCAGCTCTCAGAATACCTGCACTGAGGCCAGCAATGATGCACGTATCGGTGAAGGACGCAACTTCTACCTACAAATACCGAGGTCTGCTCAGCTTTTACACAAATGTTCCTGCAAAGCGGAAAGCAAAGATGATTAAATTGTGTGAAAAGTAGCCAAAAATCTTTGAAGAATCGTCTATGGCAACGTTTTGACACTGAAACCCACCTGAAATCAGGGATTTGATGCCACTTTCCTTCTTGTTTGTTCCAAGATCCAGTGCTCTTCGCTCAGCTGCGGGTTCCCACCGACGTGGTTTTACCTCACTTCAGTGACCGCAGTGATGCTGTCTTCCCTTTTAAAGGCTGAAGCCAAGGCAGCCTGGAGAAAGCTTTTCATGCCAAATGAAGACAAAAAGCATTTCAACTGCACCATTAAGGAGCATCTGGTTGTGACGTCCCCATTATTAACCAGTTATTCTGGAGCTCCTCTGGAAGCGGGTCCCATAAATCAACTGAAGAATAGAAAAGCACGTGCGGCTCCTCAGATACACAGCACCAAGCTGTCCACAGCAGCCTTCCAGTATCTAAAGGGGGGCTTTGATTACTTAAAGCCCCTCTCTGTGGCTTTCTATGATGCTTTTTGATATAAATAGATATATAGATAGACAGACAGATAGATAGATAGAAAGATAGATAGACAGATAGATAGATAGATTTAGATAGAAAGATAGATAGATAGATGATAGATAGATAGACAGATAGATCTGTGTGTATATTTATTGCTACAAAGTCAATAGTTTAAAGCCAAGAGCCTTTCCATTTTCATCAGGCAGAAGGAAAAATGGTTTAGGAAGATATTTTAACTGAATATGCCAAATGCCTGAAATAATGACTATATTAGAAAGTGAGAAATGTATTTTCGAATCAAGTTTCTTTACCTGGTATTAAACCATCAGGATTTGCAAGCTGTATTTCTCTGTGTATAAGCCTTGTATCATGATGCTATAAAGTCATTTTTAATGGAGAAAGCAATAGAGGAGTGCGTCCCGGATACGGAACAAGTGAACATATTGAGCTTAAAAACATCTTTACTTCCAAGCCCCCAAACCTCCCATTTTCAGCCCAAGCCCTGCAGAAGTTTCAAGAAAGAACAATTTTGGACAGAAGCCTTCTGAGATTTGAAGTAAAACCCAAAGCAAATCCAAACAAACCGGAGGAACCCGGGAATAAGGCAGAGCTGCAGAGATCCGGCAACCAACGGAACATGTAAATATTGCAGAGAACTATTTTTAAGTCAGAACATCTTTTCCAAGGCTGAAATTCCAATTGGAACATGTCCACCTTTAAAAAAAAACAACATCAAATTGAGGAAATCGTTGGAGCCCATTCATTATGGTGCCATTAATGCAGAACATGGAGTGTGCTCTGAAAATAAGCGTGACTCGCGTTGTCATCTCCTGTCTGCACATATGAAACACAGGAAAACCTGGGAAAGCCCACGGAGCATTACCCTTTATTTCACCACGATCCAGTTCGTCATTGACAAGTAACAGGCACAAGCAAGAACGTTTAAAATGGTAACTTTTAATTACTGGGATAAATACACTTAGAGCTGGTTTGGCGATGGACCAAGCTGGAAATCAACCTTTCAAACCTCAAGGAAGGACACTATCCCAGATATTAGTGCCTCTAGAGTGTTTTCACCATTCTTAAAAGCTGGAATATATCTCACCATAACTATCAATGCAGGTATTTCACTGATGGCTAAAATCAGGAAGCAGGTTAATCAAAGACCTTCTCTTCCCAGTTTCTCCTAGACCCAATGGATAGAGATGGAAACAGAGGAGTAGAAGCAGCGTTAGACAACATTGTTAATGCAAATTCCCTCCTTTCCCAGTGCTTCCTAGATTCCAGCCCATCCAACACACCCATTGAGAGGTGGGTACTCTTTACCTGCAACGTCTCAACCATTCCCAAAAGGACTTTTCCCAGAGCTTGATGCTCCACCTTTGACTCGCGCAACCTTTTCCCACCATTTTTGCTGGCAGCTTTTGGGTTTTCAGCCTTCATTGTGAGATTTAACATTAATGTTTTTAAACATTTTCCGAGGATTTCACTAAACCATGTATCGAGAGTCTTATTTTTAGTGGCAGCGGGTTGAAGGATGAAGGCTCACTCTTGCAGGGCTGTCATCAG